AATCAATACTGTGATTAGAATTAGTCTAAAGACGTGATTAGAGGTGGCTTCAGCCAGGCGTGCGAGGGCGCGCGTTTCCCATATACAACTGTGTGTTGTACTTCGTTCCATTCCTTCAAGGAACCGTGGTTATATTCATAACCTTACGGTTGTCTTTTCTGGGTTCAGATGCAATCAGTTGTAACTTAACCATTGTTTAAAATTASCCAAGCAGTTTGATCAGAACTTTAGTTTATGAAACACACTTTTCTTGAAGGACCAGTAGAGCTGGATATCATTAGCATAAGGTAAGATACATTCTTGAACATTTGAATAACACSTCCAATGAGGAGAAAACAGTGCTGAACGAGGTTGAAAAACAATAAAATGTCCTTAGCATTTCAAACAAGCTGCCTGTGAAGTAACATTTTGCAGCTGCTTTAGACACCTCTTGCTTAGACAAAGCAACTTTATCTGGTTAAACATTCACTTTTAATTTGTTACAAACCTGGACATTTAAAGTCTACGTGATGTTCATTCATGTTTTTGTTTGATGACGTCAAGAATCTAGATTGACATAATGAAATGACTGCTTCTGACCCTCAGGTTGTATTTTGCCCATGTGAGAGCTAACTGCTAGTTAGTTAGTGAGTTGGTGCTAAAGCTGCTGCTGCCATCGGTCATTGTAAATACCAGAGAACTGTACATAAATATATGTGCAATACAACTAAGACCTCATTTAAAAAGATCTGAACAAATTGCCTACAGCCCTGCAGTTAACCTGGCTCATTTAAATAAAGCTTATGTGTTGTTAATGATTACTGGAATGACTTTCCTTTATCCTCTAACAGATGAATAGTGGCATTACAACATAATAACTCAGTGTGGAGTTTAATGGTGTGTTGATGATGCAGGTTATGGGCTCTAAGGGGGTTACCTGCGGAGTGGGGGTGTACGATGCAAGTCTCTGTTCATTTCCTCCACAGAGTCGGGGGAGGGCGGCGGCGGGAAGCCTTCCTTGTCATCAGCGTTGCTGTAGTGACCGTGGCTGCCGTTGGTGAAGGCAGCGGCAGCTAAAGACCAACACAGATTCAACAAAAGGAAGAAAGACAAAGACAAAGGGTTTGTTTATCAAGGTGGAATCAAAGATCTCATTTGGAATAAAAACTAAAATAAATTCCTAAATAAAGATGCCTGAATTACCTTTAATGTCAATAAAAGACAATGCACCCTGATTGGTTGATTTTAGCTATTGTGTGTTTAAAAACCCTCATTTACTTTATACACAAACAGACAAATGAAGAAAAATGGATAAAAATTTCAAAGACAATAAGGAAAGACAAGATTTACATCAAAGCAGAGATACTTTTCATGTATAATTTAATAACAAAACAACAAATTCAAATGTATTTCCTAAAATATGACACCGCCTCTGGAGTGCATCAATCCTCTACTGTAAACCCGTTTGTGGCGAGCCCCTCCTCACCATACTGCGTGAGGAAGAGCTGACTGTCTCAGGTGGGGAAAGCATCCTCAACTTCCTCCCAACGGGTAAGGATAAAGGAGGGGAGTGAAAGATTGGAAGAAAGATTGAATTTACAACAGGTTTTTTATTCCTTTTTGTGTTTTTATTCTTGTTTTTAAGACAACAGAGYGTCTGCTGCACAATTCACTTTATGCAAATCTGGCCCACTTAGCAGCCGTTTCATCAGGGTAATGATTCCGAGGTCAGATCTTTTTTGCACATGAAAGGCAAGCGTCAGAAAAAAAAAAACATAGCTAATGACTTCCTTTTTATTCCTATAATATGCAAGGGGGGTAAAAATGGGGATAGTGTTTGGAAACGATGTGGCAGTCCAATCAGATGAAAAAAAAAAAAGAAAGATGATGACCTGGAAGAGCAGATTTGGGTTCGGAGCTTTTGCAGAGTGACAAACACACATCTGTAAACAAGCGCAGACAAACAGTCTGTGTGTACACACTCAGCTGCAGATAACAGCAGTAAACAAACATTCCAGGCCTGAATGTTGACAGTGTGACAGTTCAAATGGACTAACACAACGCTGAGTGTGTGTGTGTGTGTGTGTGTGTGTGTGTGTGTGTGTGTGTGTGTGTGTGTGTGTGTGTGTGTGTGTGT